TAAGTGTAAACTATTATTTGTTGCTTTCGTTCCTGTACTTCTGCAACCATTCTTCTATTTCTTCTACCTGAAATGACAGTAAAACAAACAATGTAAAATATTTTGAATAGAACTTGCTCCGGGCACTATTGGGTTATATATTTAAGCTACCAGTAAGAAATTAATATGTGGCATTCAGTCTCTGATAACGACGACAGCCTCTGTTATGAGTGTCTCGCATACTGTCTTTGAGGGCTAGTTACTGGTAGTTTTTAAGACTTAATGTTTTTTACTGAATTAATTAAAAACTATAACCACGTCTAACAACCTGTGTGTAATTCGAATGTTCCATCCTTCTTAATAAAAAGTAACAAAAGATCTTAATACTAATTGTACACAGGAGATATGTATTTATGTTTTAAGGGTTGCGATATTCATTATTAGTTCTTACAGCACAAGTAAATTGTAGTTAAGTAACTGATATGATTGTAAACAAAGCTAATCCACTTACACCTGATGAGATGTAATTTGTTTCTTACCAAAGGTTGTTAGGCACAAAACAACACAATAGGCTATCTGTACTGTGTCCTCCACGAGTATCGAAATATAGTTTTTAGCGTTATTTTTTGTTTAAACTAAGAAAGAAGGGTAGGCCAGTAGTTTCAAAACGTTTGTTGATAAATAACCCTTAGCAATTATAACTATATCACTCACTTTGTAATCCATGGGGCCCAGTCCTCCTTCGTAAACAATTCTTCCTTCCTTGATTATGTACAGACGTTCAGGAGAAGCTGCGTAACCTTTGTTGGCTTCGTTAGTCATTAAATCTACCAGAAGAGGGCAGGGCAGTTCTTCATTCTCCAAAAGAAAGAGGGCTGCTTTAATTCTTTCTTCAATTGACCTGGGGAAATACAACAACAAAAAATAACCTTAGGCTGGATGTAAATCGATTGATTTTACGCTACACTTGGACAAGTTATTAGTGTTCACGGGTGTAAAATACTATAAGTATTGATGATAGCTTGTTGACTGACCCTAATACAAGAACAAACCGAGTTATACAGACATCTAAAATACCTCCCAAACTTCATCTGGGCGATGGAGGGGGTACATGACCATTTATTGATATTTAATATTATTGTAGCCTTTTAGCATAAATTCTTCTTCAAGTGGTATAAACATTTTAACTGTTACCTTGGTAAGGTAGGCAACAGTTATCAAGGCCGTTATCACGCACGTGTTCGTCGCAGCAGAAATTTGCTTTACAGTGAAACCAACCGATACATTTAAATGTAGTTTACAAACATCGTCAGAAATCTTGCCATCGCTATAGGAACATTATGCTTAAATTATAGGTGAGAACTTTATTCGCTTATTAGTAGGATCACGTGATGGGCTTACATAGTTTGAAAAGTGAACAGTTTCTAAATCTTATTGATTTATTACTCAAATACTTGAACGAGATGTTAAACTACGATTTACAAGTAGGCCTGAAGATGAAGGATATGATATCGCTATTTAATCATATTTTCGTGAAACTGAAGATGGATAGAATAAAAAAATTAGTGATCTGTTACCCCCAGACACAGGTCAATAATTGTTTAATGGTGTAGAATAAAAGGACTTGAAAGAAAAATATTTGAAGAAGTCTTCAACGTTTCCACATTGAAGTTAGAAACTAGCAAAATTGATCGTTTATAACAGCAAAACTACACCTAAAACTAAGTTCTACCGAGGCTTAAAGCTTCCAGTCAATAGTGAGACATCCCTGACTAACTTAGATTCAACAGGTGTACAGCTACGGTCGTTATCTCTGTTTGTAAAGTGAAACATCCCTGACTGACTTAGATTCAACAGATGTACAGCTACGGTCGTTATCTCTAACGGTAAAGTGAGACATCCCTGACTGACATTACTTCAACAGGTGTACAGCTGCAGTAGTTATCTCTGTTGGTAAAGTGAGACATCCCTGACTGACTTAGCTTCAACAGGTGTACAGCTACGGTCGTTATCTCCGTTGGTAAAGTGAGACATCCTTGACTGACTTAGCTTCAACAAGTGTACAGCTAAAGTCGTTATCTCTGTTAGTAAAGTGAAACATCCCTGACTGACTTAACTTCAACAGGTGTACAGTTACAGTCGTTATCTCTAATGGTAAAGTGAGACATCCTTGACTGACTTAGCTTCAACAGGTGTACAGTTGCGGTCGTTATCTCCGTTGGTAAAGTGAGACATCCTTGACTGACTTAGCTTCAACAGGTGTACAGTTGCGGTCGTTATCTCCGTTGGTAGAGTGAGACATCCTTGACTGACTTAGCTTCAACAGGTGTACAGCTACAGTCGTTATCTCTGTTGGTAAAGTGAGACATATCTGACTGACTTAGCTTCAACAGGTGTACAGTTACGGTCGTTATCTCCGTTGGTAAAAAGCAACTTCCCCTATTCTGACGATCACTTACCACAACTATGGACACTGGGCATGTAGACAAATTAGAACATGCTGAAGACAACTTAGTAATTGCATTTCAAAACAGCTTGAGTATGACTATGGACAATGATCTCTATACCCATAAGTACGGTATAGTGTGACCATGATGTCGATATAAAACACCATATAATGTGACCATGATGTCATAATAATACATCACCCGACTGTGTATACGTAACGGTGCCAGTATAGTGTACTTATTGAATTGTATTTGTTTAAAAGCATATCTTAAACTATATATCACCGAATGTTATTTAGTTTATTGAAAAAAACAGTTATTATTGATAAGTTTCAGGATGGTTAAAGGCGATTAAGACTATTTTCATCGCCGAGATTACGAACACACGGGGAGTTGACTTTCTTCCCCAAGTGTGGAGCTCAGAACTTATTTATGAACCCTTGGTTATGAAAAAAAATTACACATTCAAAGCTATAGCATTGGAAAACTTAAGACAAAAAAGAAAAACTAACAATCACTCGTACATCCGTTAGGAATACTTAATTGATAGAAGAAAGACTGGTTCATGTAATTTTTCACAGTAACTGTAGATAATAAAAATAGCTTCTGTAAAAATGAGGTTTATGATAATTTCAAAAGTCGTTAGTTATTGATACAAGTACTTATCACTTAAGAATCATTTCCCGACAAACATTTTGTTTATATTATTATTCTACTGATTTAATATGATGCAGTATAGTAAGGTTTAAACATTTAGACTTCATTGAGAACTACATTAAGTATATAATTCTAAGAAATTGAGCGAAACCGAATAAAAATACAAAATTAACAACTATTTCCCATATCTAGTGCCGACGATACCAAAGTTCAAAATACTCGTGTAGTACACATTATGACATTAAAAAGAAAAGTTTTGTTTATTTGTAATAAAGCACAAAGCTACACAATGGGCTATCTGTGCTCTGCCCACTACCGGTATCGAAACCCGGATTCTAGCGTTGTAAGTCAGCAGACACACCGCTGTGCCACTGGGGGCAAAAAAGAAAAGTAACATGTAATAGTCATAAGGAAGCCTAACCAGTATGTAAAGGATGCCGGCCCTTGAAGACATGAAGGGTCATTAAAAGTCATTGTATCCTTTCATCTCGGGGGTTTATCTACAACTGACCTAAATTTCACGTGCGTTACCATTAATCAATCACGTGGTGCGTCCGCCATTACGATAGTAAAAGAAAACGCACCAGTCTAATCACAACAATATTGATCCTTTATTTACATTTCTTAAATTGCTATTTATTTTGAGATTCAGCAACGGGTAGTAAAAAAAGTATAAAACAGGTAGAGTGACTTAATGTGATGTCAATGAATGTTCAAATACTCGCCGAAAAATAAATTCATGGAAAGAATCCACGTGCGATATTCCCGGACAAGTACTTGAAGAATGTGCCTGTTTAATCTATGTTAAGCTTAAATAGATAAAAGTAATAAACAGGAAAACATTACAAAAAGTGAACATTTGCTCGCTAAAAATTTCTTGAAGGTAAACCGATTGAAAAAAATACTGTTATGTCTCCGTTTGTTAATTGATTTCCCATAAATTCGTTCCTACGAAACTTTAGCGACACAAGTCCTTACTTAATAAAACTGGTCTATTCTTTCCGAATACAACTTTACGATACACTTAATTTCAACAATCGCGCTAAAACAAACGCTATAACAACGAACGTGCTCAACTTCAATAATACTCTCTGACTGCAGATCAATTACTCACTATCTACACACACATTGTCACGTCACGCCGTGACCATCTTATATATATATATCAGACCACCCCCCAATCTAGTAAATGCTAGAGCACTCCCGAAGGAACGGGATAGTTCTAGAAAGCAGGTGGCGTGACACTAGTCACGTGACCTCGCTGACGCAACACTGCCCCCTCCTTAGTATTGTTCGTCCCGAACAATAGCCACTTACAATAAACCAATAACAATTAACAATAACTTAATTAAATATACAAAATTACAATCACAAAATTACAATTCAACAGTCTTTTAATTTTACGGGACGTATCTTCTTCCGTAAAGGTCTCCGTATTGTTGGCTTCTGCTTCACGTGGGGTTCA